GCGAAAAGCTTGGCTTTTATAGGTGCCTCCTGATGAACCGGTCCGGTTGGACTATGTGGCAACGCGGGTTTCCTCAGCTTGAGCCAATAGCATGGGCTAGTCGTCTGTTCCCAAGCCGAGTCTGGCGCTAGTGACGCACTATAAAAGGAAATTTCGTTGCGGGTTTTTCGTTAGCAATACCTGTTGCAACTGTGTCAATCATGCCACCCAAGACTTCTGGAAAGGCTGCCAAGAAGGCCGGTAAGGCCCAAAAGTCTATCTCCAAGGGAGATAAGAAGAAGAAGCGCAGGAGGAAGGAGAGCTACAGCATCTACATCTACAAGGTGTTGAAGCAGGTCCACCCTGACACCGGTATCTCCTCCAAGGCCATGTCAATCATGAACTCTTTCGTGAATGACATTTTTGAGCGCATTGCAGCTGAGGCTTCCCGCCTTGCACACTACAACAAGCGTTCCACCATCACCAGCCGGGAGATCCAGACCGCCGTCAGGCTTCTGCTGCCCGGAGAATTGGCCAAGCACGCTGTGAGCGAAGGTACCAAGGCCGTCACCAAGTACACTTCATCAAAGTAAATTACTAGGTGCTTGTGTACGGTTTACCTGCCTCATACCCAAACAAACATCGGCTCCTTTAGGAGCCACAAATAGTCTTCAAAGTGGATAAAAATGACCTTACTAAGTGTGGATTAACAACTACTACTATTTGGGATACCTGTATACATGCATTATCATCATCATCATCATCAAGATCAGGGATTACTTGAGATTGGGTTAGGGTTTGATATGTTTGTTTGTCATCCATTCATTTATCGTTTAGTCTAAACAAACAAACAATGTTAATGTTTCAGTCTATTAGCAGTAATTGATTGTTTGTGTGTATATATGTATGTATGTATGTATGTATGTCTGTGTCTGTCTGTATCGAAAACTGTATGGAAAGTAAAGTAAAGTAAAGTGAACACACACAATTCTTGTAAACACATATAGAGAGAGGAAGGAGGAGGGAGGGTGGGGGGCGGTGAAAGTATAAACTATATATATTGTTTCATATATATATATATATATATATATATATATATATATATTTATTTATTTATTATATGTATACAATCACACAAAATATGCAAAAATATATATAGTGTAAATAATATATATAAATATATACAATATCAATAGTATATATATATATTTTTATATATTTACCAATTATATTGTATATATATACACAACATATATTATTAACAATATATATATTTAAAAATTAAAATACTATATTCTATATATTTATATATACATTGTCTAATATATATATATAGATATATATAAATATATATATATACATATACATATATATATATATACATATATACATATATATATATATATATATATATATATATATATATATATATATAGTAATATATATTTTAATATATTTATATATTTTTTATTACAAATATATATATATATATATATATATATTTATATATATATATATATATATATATATATATATATATATATACACAATATATTGTGTTAATGTATATACAGTATATATTGACAATATATATATAATATATATATTGTAAACACACATAAATTATATATTTAATATATTTTATATATATATATACGTAATATATAATTATATATATATACATATATTTATAATATATATATATACACATGATATATATTATATATATGTATATATATATTCTATATTACATCTATATATTCTATAGATATTATATACATATAAATATATATATATATATATATATATATATATATATATATATATATGTATATATATATATATGTATATGTATATATATATATTTATATATATCTATAATGTATATTGTATATATAATATATTTAATACACACACACACACACATACATATACACATACATATACACACACACACACACACACATATACATATACACACACACACACATATACATATACACACACACACACATATACATATACACACACACACACATATACATATACACACACACACACATATACATATACACACACACACACATATACATATACACACACACACACATATACATATACACACACACACACATATACATATACACACACACACACATATACATATACACACACACACACATATACATATACACACACACACACATATACATATACACACACACACACATATACATATACACACACACACACATATACATATACACACACACACACATATACATATACACACACACACATATACATATACACACACATACATATATATCAACACACAGTCATACGCTATATACATTCACAATCATACACATACATACATACATACATACATACAGACATACACAATTATATATACACACACACAAAGGATGTATTGTAATTGTCACAGTGATTATTATAAAAGATAAATGCTAAACACTACAAGAAAAGTCGTATTTCAATCTCTCTGGGGACATTTTTAGGCCCTGAAAAGGGCCGAGGTCGATTTTGGTATGCAACGAGACAAGCAAACTAGCAACCAAAAACTTAGGCACGCTCTCCGCGAATACGACGAGCAAGCTGGATATCCTTGGGCATGATGGTAACTCTCTTGGCATGGATGGCACACAGGTTGGTGTCCTCGAACAGGCCAACCAGGTAAGCCTCGGAAGCCTCCTGCAGAGCCATGACAGCAGAGGACTGGAAGCGGAGATCAGTCTTGAAGTCCTGGGCAATCTCACGGACCAGGCGCTGGAAGGGCAGCTTGCGGATCAGGAGCTCAGTGCTCTTCTGGTAACGACGGATCTCACGAAGGGCGACAGTTCCGGGCCTGTAACGATGGGGCTTCTTGACACCTCCTGTAGCAGGGGCAGACTTGCGAGCTGCCTTGGTGGCCAACTGCTTGCGGGGGGCCTTGCCTCCAGTAGACTTGCGGGCAGTCTGCTTGGTACGTGCCATTTTGGGGATTGATTGATTGTTTGTATCTAGACAGATAGGAAACGGGGGCGCTGGTTTCAAGAGCTGAATTTATACCAGAGCGGCCTGGGCCAAGTCGCGCGGCGTGTGGCTATCAGTGTGAGGCTTGGCGCCGCCCATTGATGCTGTGTAAACAGAGCTTGAGGATTGACGGCTGTCAGGTGTGATTGGGTGAAAGTGCCTAGGCCTTGTTTGGTGATGATTCCATTAGTTTGTGCAATGTTTGAGTGCTAATCTACTAGTTTAATCCGAGAGGTAAATTTTAAGCGGTATCAAGGATTAAGAGAGCTTTTATTTGAAGAGCGGACGGTTAGGATGAGCGCTGGGTTGACGCGGCCGGGCGAGCGCTACACTAACGTAGGCGAGTGAGTGTTGCATTAGCGATGGGGCGTTGAGGCAGGCATCTCTTGGTTAAGTGATTCAAAGCTGAAACCATGACTGGACGTGGAAAGGGTGGCAAGGGGCTCGGAAAGGGAGGCGCCAAGCGTCATCGCAAGGTGTTGCGTGATAACATCCAGGGTATCACCAAGCCTGCAATCCGTCGTCTTGCCCGTCGTGGTGGTGTCAAGCGTATCTCTGGTCTCATCTATGAAGAAACCCGTGGTGTGCTCAAGGTGTTCCTCGAGAACGTGATCCGTGACGCCGTCACCTACACCGAGCATGCTAAGAGGAAGACTGTCACTGCCATGGACGTTGTCTACGCTCTCAAGCGCCAGGGACGTACCCTGTACGGTTTCGGAGGTTAAGCGTTTTCCACAACAACAACAAGTACAAGAAGGAAAACTACCACAACCACCAAAGCCAACCAGTAAAGCGACCCAAACAAAACCTTGGACCTATCTTAGGTCCTAATACAATTTTTGAGAGAAAAATTGTTGACTATTTATTACTAGTTTAGTTTGTTTGTGTGTTAATTTAATTTGTTTAGCTTTGTTTTGTTGATTTGTGCTAGTCTACATTTGTAGTAATGAAGGTAACGTTAGAATGTTTGTTTGTTTGTTTGTGGCAGTATTGTTTTGTTTGTATTTGATGTTGTTATCATGGGCTATTAGTACATGTTATCATTTGTTTGTTTGTGTGTGTAGCATTGCGGGACATGTCAGTAAATAAGTGCAAATAAGTAAGAGAGTAGTTGTAGATAACTGTGTCGTTAAACAGTTGATAATTATATTGATTATCAATGTATCTTTGCTTGTTTTTAACAAATACTTGTGGAATCTATCAATATATACATGTAGGTTGAGTGGTGTAGGTTTTAATGTTGTTACCATCGTTGATGAGTAGTTATTGTGAGTGAGTGAGTGATTGGGTATTTAAGTAACTAACTAACTCACTAACTAGGTATATTTGTGATGCACTTGAATCGTTGAGTTTATTTGATTTTGGATGCCAATGTTATAGATGTAGGTGTATGCAATGACAAAGGCACCTTGAACAAGGCTATAATAATCATAGAGTAGAGTAGTGATGTATTTAATTATTGTGTGGGTGTGTGACTGACTGTGGGGAAAATAGGTAGGGTAGGTTTGTTGCGTTTGCTATTGTGTGTAGGTTGTGCACACATGTGTTGACTGACTGACTGACTGACTGACTAACAAACTAATTTGTATAGCTTGGAGTTATTGCATAATTATGTATGTTTGTGTCTGTGTGTCTGTGTGTGTGTGTGTGTATGTATGTTTGTTTGTGTTGCGCATGTCTGTGTATGTGTGTCTCTATGTGTGTGTGTCTATGTGTCTGTCTGTCTCTCTCTATGTGTATGTGTATGTGTCTGTGTGTGTATGTATGTATGTATGTATGTATGTATGTATGTCTGTCTGTCTGTCTGTCTGTTTGTGATGCGCATGTGTGTGTCTCTATGTCTATGTCTATGTCTATGTGTGTGTGTGTGTGTGTGCGTGCGTGTGCGTGTGTGTCTATGTCTGTTTGTGTATGTTTGTGTTGTGTATGCGTGTATGTCTGTCTATGTGTCTATATGATTGATTGTCTGTGTGTGTGTGTGAGATTTGTTGTTTGTGTGTTTTTCTGCTCCCCATACAAAAGTAACAGACAGACACAGGAGGAGGAGGAGGAGGAGGAAGAAGAACAAGAAGAGAGTGTGTGAATATTCAAAGAGGGTTGTTATTACCAAAAGGCTACTTACTTGGTCATTTCATTAGTGCAATGTTGGGAACTAAACTATGCTCAAACTAGATTTGGTAAAGTTTGCCATGTAACAAGAAGAAGAAGAAGAAGAGTGTGTAGTTTTCTTTTATGCACGACATCTAACGGCAAACTTTGATATCTGCCGGGTAAACAAACACACGAGGGTGGTTGGTTGTGTATTGAGGAGGAGGAGGAGGAGGAGGAGGAGGAGGATTGAGTTACGTGTCATTGTCACTCACTACAAAATTGAGCGCACTAACTAAATAACTAACTAACTAAGTAAATAACTCGTTGTGGGGATGAGTAAAACACAGAGTCTGTCATATATATTCTTTGACCAGTCAGTCAGTCAGTCAATGAGAAGGAGTTCTTGTGCCATATCAACAGAGAGAGAGAGAGCGAGAAACGACAGGAAGGAAGGAAGGAACAAAGTTTAACGGACACAGAACACACGATGAAAACAAAATCACATACAAACATGTAAAGGAAGGAGAAAAAGATACACAACAACAACACTTTATTAACAACTATCTATCTCGATGTCAAAGTCCATTTCAAAAACACACACATACACACGCATTCACTCACCTACACACTCACTCACACAATAACAAACAAACAAAACCAGCCACCACCCACACAGAAACAACAGAAACAGCCTTCTACAAGAGGAGGGGGGGGGGGACAGACACAGAAACACGCACTATCGCACTCACCCCAAACTAAAGCACAACCAACAAACAAGCAAATCAACAAAAAACACTAAAATCAGACAGAGTCCATTCACAAAAACACTCAAAAAACACACTTTTACAAATTCACTAACCCAAAAAAAAAAAACACACATATATTAACATCTCATCTCCACTCCAATCCATTTCATTTCATAATACTTTACTTTGCTCTTGCCTTGGGGAGACCTACGCACCCAGACCTCGGACAATGCCACAGAAAAATGGACTCTATGCACACTATCACACACACAGATATAGGCATTAACCACTGTAGAAACAATCAATCAGACACTACCCAACTGCTTGCCCGCTCGTTTGCAAGACTAGTTTTAACGGAAGACAGATCAAAGTACCACGAGTAATGAATGCTTGGTTACACTCCGTTAAACATAAACATGTTGAATTTGTGTAGCCAAAATAATTATAAAGATGTGGTGTCGATGAATAAGACAAATACTAGTTTACTAGATCAAATAACAAACGGTATCCACAGCAAGCAAACTATATTAAGTGTCGATAAAGGAAAGGTCCATCCTCGTGAACGATCAAATAAGGAAGATGTCGAAACGCTCTTCAATTGATTGATTATCTTTCGTTTATTGTGTATGTTATTACTATTGTATGATAATAATAATTAGTAGTAGTAGTATATTGATGTATTTTTTGTTATTATCACGGATTGTACTTTATTTCCTATAAAAGAAGGAAGGCATTCATATGCATTGGTCTTTCTTTGTTTTGTTTCGTTTTTATTTATTTTTGTTTCTCCATTTTCTTATTTCAACCCCCGACCAAAGTGTTCAAATACATAAACTATTTATCATATATTACTTGAACATTTACTTATCAATACCTTATATTCAGTAGTTCTCATTATTGACATCATTAGTCATGATACTCGAAACAGAGAAACGGTTGTGGGTTATACAGCAACAACATGTGAGGGCATGCATGTTTCTTTGATTGGCATGGCAAACACCGTATAGAGACTCTTTTTCGCGGTCTAGCGTCACTTCTTACGCAGGAAAACTAAAGAATGTGCTTCTATTTAGTATCTTTAAATATGAAAACAAAAAGTTCAATTTTGAGAAAAATAACGTAAAAAATCAGCATACAAGTCGAAGAAAACGAGTGCAAATAAATATTCATTAATCACCATTCATAAAATAACCTTTGTAAAACTTATGAAAGTACGTACAAACACTATATATATTTATAGAAAGTCATTATAGACATGGATTTAGGATGAATCAAATTTCGACTTTTATGGGATTAAGGATGAACTAAAATAAAATAATAAATACTCGTAAAAAGGACAGATCAACGGATTTTCCTCCATCTCATGCTTGCTTATTTGAGGGGAAAGAGTGGTGACAAAAACAAATATAAATTGTACATTTATTAAACTAAAAATAATAATATGACACAGCAGCGGTCCCTGGCAACACCTTTTTTCGGGCATCCTCCTCACTCGCCGGATAAAACGCTCGTGCCCTGGACTTTGGCGAATTGAAGGCGACTGAAGTTCATCTTGCAGTATGAAGGAAGATGCAAGGGAGCTTCAGGCAATGTATAGTAGTCTCTTCGATAGTCTTTAACGAATATACAGGGCAAAATGTCACCACACTGCAGGAGTGTGTTGCCACCTCGAGTTCATCAGTTTCCGATAGAGGGTAATTTTCGTATGGCTGTGGGAAAGGTGGAGGAGGTTTTATACATCCTCGAGTGAATCGACGTGATATACATACATACATACATGCATACATACATACATACATACATACATACATATAATATAGATAGATAGATAGATAGATACAGATATAGATGTATATGCATGTATGTATGTATATATGTATATATGTATATATATATAGAGATAGATAGATACATAGATATATACATACATACATACATATATGTATATATATAGATATAGATATATAGATATATAGATATATATATATAGAGAGAGAGAGAGAGAAATATGTATATATATATATACATACATACACACACATTTCTCTCTCTCTCTCTCTCTCTCTCTCTCTCTATATATATATATATATAGATATGTATGTATGTATGTATGTATGTATGTATTTATCTATGTATCTATCTATATA